CAAGCAGTTCTTTAACAGTGCATCAGAGTTTCCCATGAATATATTTTTAATTTAAAGCTCCAGCTAGGGTTATAAGATGTGTCTTGTCTCTTGCTTGACAGAGTGGAGGATGTTATTTCCAAAATTACAATCTTCCAAAACCAAAATTTAAATGAATAAGATGTCATTTTGGATTTTTCTGTGTGGTAAACCTTACCATCAGTTAAATATACAGACAACATAATCAACAACATCTATGTTTGTTCAAAATATGAATCATTTCATTTGCTGTTCACTTTGTAATATGAGCTTTTCTGACTGAATAATAAATAGTGTGTATGAAAAATATTCTTGTAAAATGTCTGTTGCAGCTTTAGAACCCAAGCATAATTTTAGCTGGTCATGCTAAGTTAGTCTTAGCTGAGTCATCTACATCTTTCTTTACTTAAAATGAGTATTAATGTAATGTAATGTATTGGATGTTTTGACCACAGTATGTTACTTTACAGTATGTTAGTTAGCACTTAGCTGATCCAGCTCAAGCCTCAGTACACCAGTAGGAACAGCTGATGGGCCTTTTCATTGCTGTCAGTTTTTATTCAGAGTTGTAGCATTTGGTAGGAATTTTCCTCTTTGTTTTTTTCCCATCATCTGTTTGTAATAATTTAAATAAATTAACAACATTTATGTGACCTTCTAATGAATCCTGATGGCCTTGCTTGAAATTTAACCTGTTATATCTTGTGGTATCAGGTTTAACATGTGTTCATTGTGTCCAGTAACTTGTTTTATTGTCTACCGGCTACTGTGGTGAGAATCAATATTATCCAGTGAGAATTATGCATTGTTCCTGTAATTCAGTATTAAAGGGACCCATATACATGAAAATCAAAATGTTCTCATCTTTTTAAATAAATGATGAATTTGATGTAATACGTAGACATTATTAAAATTTCAAAACATGCTATTCATTACAGGGTCTATACAGTCCATATACACATAGTAAGCTGCAAAAACTGCCTATTTTAAATTCATTGTGTTTGTGAAGTAATGAAAATCATCAAAATCACATATACTCAGCCAACAGCAGCTTAGCCCCCCCCATTCACACTTAAGTTATAAGGAATGTATAAACACTGGGCAGCTTTTTGAATGAGACAGCCATTCAAGTAGTAGGGTAAGGGCCTTTGTAAAGTTTTAGTCATTTTCAGTTAGATATTTTATATTTTGGTTTCATAGTAAAGTTATTGATATTGCAAGATTGACTGATGAAAAATTAGAATGCATTCAGATAAATGCCAATCTAATGATGTAACATGGTGTACTTTGTTGTATAATTTCATGTTCTATTCTGCTTTTAATAACAGCTGTTGCGATATTCCAACAGTAGTTGGTGTTCAAAGATTTTGAATAATGTTGCCCTTTTTAACTTTGAGCACCTGCCCCCTTTCTGCATGGCCCTGATGATCGCTGAAACTTTCCAAGATGCCAATGAAGAGACCAGCATTAAAGCATAGACAAAAGAATCACACTGTTTAAAGTGCCTTCAGGCTTTTAGGGTGACCCAGAGAGAAACAATCAAGTCTTTCTCATCAGGTCAGGCTCTATAGATCACGCTGTGGATCAGGACCAAGCAGAGCTTCAGCCAGCTGATTGATTTCATCTGCTACACTTTCTGCTACTGCTGCGCTTTTAAAGTCTGACAGAGAGAGAGAAAAAGAGAGAGAGAGAGAGAGAGAGAGAGAGAGAGAGAGAGAGATGGTTGCTTCCTTTGTGGAACTGTGGAAAACTTTCCTGAATGCTGGTGGTGAATGCTTTTGTCAGACAAAAGTTATTCTAGTCTTTGACTAAATTGTGGTGTCAGTGCTGAATGCCTACTGGAAATTCCTTTTAGTCCAGGTTTAGGTTTAATCTGGGTCTGTGAAACCAGCTCATAGTCTTAGGTTGTGAATGAGGGCCTTTGTTGTCATATGTTAGCATGACAATTTATAACTGACAGAAAAATCAGGTGCTGAGGAGTTAATGGAATTTTTTGGCGAAAATCAACTTTGCACAATTTTCCACTTATTCCAGATGTAGTCAGTCACCCAAGACATGGTTGGTGTCCAAGTGCTGCTTCTTTAGTTTAATGCTGGAGTTATGAGGCTTGATGCAGCCATATAGACATTAATTACATTACCAAGTTCTGTTGTTCTTATTTATAAATATGTCTTCAGCTTGAACTTGACAAGTCAAGATTAACAATTATTTATCAACAGAAAGAAAATGGAAATTGAAAATTGTGTAATTAGGTTTTTCACAAAGAGCAAGGATCAAGAATACATTTGAAAAAAAAAGAACACAACTATTAAAGGTCGATGCCGACGCTCATCACTAGAAGTCATCTGGAAGACTTAATCTCCTGAACACCTGTATTGTGCAGTGGGTAGCTCTGAGGGCCTAGAGCTACGTAATCAAAAGGTTTTGTCGTGCTTAACACCTGGAATAGTTCAGACATGAGTCATGCCCCCTCAAATCAAGCAGAGTTCATGCCCAAAAGGCAAGGAGACAAGTGCTCATTCAAGGCAGAGCAGTCAAGCAGGCAAAAATAGTCAACCTACAGTTTGACGCCTTTGATGATAGGAGACAATGTCTGAGGATTTTGTCTGAAAATGTATCTTGCAGCTATTCAAAGTATTTGCAAATGCTTTACTTTTCATAATGTATAAAAGATCTTATTCAAATAAAGTTCAATATTTGATCTACTTATGGTTCAGGTTGTCTGATTAAACACCATCAAATTGTTTGTACACACTTGTATATTGAATCTGTGCTGGTAGTATTATACAGATCATGCTGTAAGTGTACCATAACAATAATATAATAAAACACAAACATAGATATATAAATAGTTTAGATTTTCATATGCTCTTCCACAGTGATGTCCTTTCAAGGGGCTTTCAAAGAAAATGACAGGTAAGTGAGATCAACATAGGGAAGAAGTGTGACATTTGGGGTTTGTTTGGGACTTGAACAGGTTCACAAAGAGCATGTTCAAGTGGCTCGTTGGTTCTGGTCAAACAAAGTGCTCACACTTCAATGCATCTTAGGGATCTTATGGTGAGCCCCTTTGGGCACAATACCTCTTCAACATTTAAAGGTCTACAGCAAACCATATATGTCTGTCAAACATCATTTTGGGAGAGAACACTTTTTAGTAACATTGCGAACGATTTTTAAGAGCCCATAACACACACGGCATGTTTCTCTACTAGATGTCTGATCCACAACAAGACCAAACTTTGAACCAACTGATTTCACTTTGATTCATGTCCTTGATATGTGTGAACACCTTCTGGAACCAGTCAGTGCCTGTATTCCATTCAAGTCTGACACTCGATTCACAGCCCATTTCTCTTACTCACATGGGCTAACAAGTGGTGGAAAAAGGGGTAAAACATCTCCACCTAATGAATCAGGTAAAAAATAGTGCGTCAGTGCTATAGCAACAGGCACAAAACAACTACTATTCAAATTAGGATTCACACCAGGCTGATTGTTAATACCTGATTGTGAATGGCATACAGTAACACAATCAATGATGTGAATACTTAGAATATTAGTAGGAATTTAATTTAAGGAAGTTAATTTTTATTTCCAATATGTTAATTTTAGTAAATGAACAGAAACCGCATTACAGGGTGCAGAAGTATGTTCTCTATATAGGACGTACATCTATTTTAAAATCAACATATCGTGTAATTTGACCAAGGGTGACAAAAAATTGCATACAACTGTATGTCTGACGCAAACACAGATTGGAATCTATTATCAAGCACCCCTTTCAAGGATAGGCGATATGACAAAAATATAAAATGACGATACTGGAAGACATTTCCAATCTGCATTACATATCGCCATATCTAGTTTTTCTAAGGTTTGATAAGTTGGAACAAAACACCCCGCCAAAAAAAGACCCAAAATCACATGAAAAAGAATACTGTCTACAGTTTCAGATACTGCACTGCACTAAATCCGATTACAGATGTCTAATTAAGTACTCATTGTAATAAAACATGCAAGTGGTCAGTGTTCAAGTGATGATGATGATGATGATGATGATGATGATGATGATATCTTTGATATGCTCAGAAAAGCATACTATGATATTGTATGATACCCTAAATTCCTCATATTGCCCAGCACTAATCCCTGTATTCTACTGTAAGCCATCACACACACAGAAGGCAAATCAAAAAACAAGTTCTTAGTAACAAGATGAATGTTTAAAAATATCCAAAAATCATTTTTATTCATAAAATGTAAAAGAAATACAAAAATATCACCCATTCCACTTTTAAATGCATACTATCAAGATACAATCATTTCAGTCACACATACATTCACATGTATAAAAAAAAATATCAATTACACACTTGGGCAAAGTCTCAGAAGAGATTCCAGAGCTTTGAAAGGCACTTGATAGAGCACTGAAAGTTTGAACGCTGGTGTACTGTCATGTTATGTTCATGTAAGTGTTTAAATACTTTCAACAGAAAAAGCAGTTTGTTTTGCACTTGTTCCCTCTGTAATAAATGGCTTCAGTCATTTCTTTTGGTCCCCAGCTCTTTGGTTTTGTCACCACACACCTGCTATGACATATAATAACAGCAATAAAATATCATCATACCCTTAAACATCCAATAATGGATAATACTTGGCATAAATTACTGCTCAAGTGACAGCATGTGTAGGCCCAATTATGACCTCCCAAATAGTACATAACAGTAAACAATGCTACAGTACACAGAAGGGTACAAGTCCAACACTGATGGAAACAGTGAGAATACTGTTAAAATTGAAAGCACATGATAGAGCACATGATAAACTGGGTGATGTTTTTCTTTTTCTAAACATCGAAATGAACAGAAGACTCAGTCACAGGCACACGCAGAGTTAAGGCTGCTGGGTGTTCAAACAGTCTTTTTTCCCTGGGCAGAGAGTGCCGAGAGCTGCAAGAAGGCACCTCAGAGTTTAAAACCAAAATAAAAAAAACCCTGTCCAAGGCACAGTTTTTGGTCAGTGAGCTACGCAGCAGCCCGACTCCTCATGTTTGTGGAGGAGCGACATTCTGGAGAACGTTTTGGAGCAGTTCTTGCACTGGTATTTCTTCACGTCTGAGTGAGTCTGCAGGTGGGCCCTGAGGTTGGACCTGTCCGCGAACGCCCGGCTGCAGTGGGGGCACGAGAAGGGCTTCTCACCTGGCACAACAGTAACATATGTCAGTGCTATCATTCGAATTTGCAAAAAGCAGAGTCAATGGAGGTTAGAGACAAGGCCCACAACAGTTTCTGTATAATGAAAAAAAAAAAGGAAAAAAATTGAATTAACACCTACAAGGTTCACTCAAGTACAACTAGACTTGAATACTCCCAGAGTTGATTCAAGACTAACAGTTCAATCAGCACTGCATAAGGCCTATGTAACCTACTAAAGCTACAACCAGACTAAGTTACCAAAACACAACTTGTATTACTCTACCTCTGCTGAAACAGCCAATCCTTAAGTTATTACCTTCAAACATTGCCTTGGTTGAGTTACCAAACTATAACTTTCACTATCCTGTCTCTGCTTAGACACCAATGTCTTAAAGCATTAACTTAAAACATCTGCTTGGTCAAACATTTTGTTACCAAACTGTAAACAGACTCTACTAAGAGATAGGTCTAATAGAAAATAAGGAACTGAACAGATACATGGAAGTAAATAAGTACTGTGCTATGAGCAACAGTAATAGATTGGACGAAATTAAACGAACACAAGCATTTAGAGTTTCTCTACAAAGTAGGGTTATGAAAGATATTAAATCAAGCATTTACAAGCCAACAAATAAGTCCTTTGGTGCACTGCAACGAGATGTGTTTGAAGCGTGATTAAAGTAGGAAATGTTGCACACAGAAGGTAGAAAAGCTTCTGCTACTGCTCTTGCCTCACCTGTGTGCGTCCTGATGTGGCCCTGAAGCAGCCATGGTCTGGAGAACGCCTTGCCGCACATTTTGCAAACGCAGGGCAGCGTGTGTGTCCTTATGTGCATCTTCAGGGCGCCGAGGCTCACGTACTCCTTCTCACAGTACTTGCAGCTAAACGACTTCCTCGCCTGCGCGTCGCAGTGCAGCTGTTTGTGCTTCATCAGTCCAGAATACGTGGAGTAGGACTTGGCGCACAGGCCGCACTGGAACTTCTCTGTGTCCTCGACGCTCAGCTTGGCAGACACTCGCTCATCCTCGTCGCCGCTCCTCGGGCTCTCCGAGCCTGCACGGCCCTTGGACGAAGCGTCTGAGAGCGGGGAGAGGGAGCCAGAGACAGGCGACAGGTCACTGGGCAGAGGAGAAAGCAGAGAGTCGCTCGTCGTCCACACGGTGATGGGGTTGTACGCCACCGGGCTGAGGACTTCAGGCTGAGGTATGACGGGCACTGGAAGGCTTTTGAGCAGATATGGCGACAGAAACACTGCAAAAAAATACAGAAAAAAACATTCAAATCCCAGCAATCAATACATAAGTAAATGTAAAGCTGAATGCTGGCGCTCAGAGAACGGCTCTCAGATTTTCAAACCTAGTTACATCTTACACGGTTTCTACCACTACGTTTTTTTTTAACTTAAACCACAACAACTGGTAGGCTAGAATGTTTAGCTAATTAAGTCTATCTCAGTCAAGATTTGTGGCGCCGTTTTTTTACCTGTTGGACTCTCCAATTCACTGTAGTTGGGCTTCTTGGTAGAGTTGAAATGTTTTTTCACCAGAAATGAGCGCGGCATTTTGAAAACGCAGTGAAAAGGAGACAAATATAACGGTCCTCGGCACTTTCCCGGTATGACAAATCGCTGTAACGGAGTAAATCCTCACTGCGTAGCCCAACAGAGAGTCATCTTTCAGTGCAGCTAACTTCCACAATCTAGCACGTAACGGCTAGCAGCAGTAAATACGTGTGACTTCTTTTTCCACCCGTATTTCGGAAAATCCCGTTTCCTGTGCTGGGATTGGCTACTGGCGTCCTGCCTCCTGCCATCGGATTAGCTAGCAGGAGCGTGCCAACTGTGCTAGGGTTGGACAGTAATTAACTCTCACAAGCTGTCCGCCAATAGGAGGCAGGACTAACGTCGGAATACGGGTGGGAAAAATAACAGCGAATAGTCCTAATCAGGTGCAAAAGGCGGAGTTTCTACCACATAATCTAGGCCGCTTGTCCAATCATTGGCGCGCTGGTTCTCAGTGGGTTGAACACAGTGAAGCACGGACAAGGAGACAGGTGTTTTGAGAAAGCATTTATGTTTAACTGGTCTGTGCAAGAAGTAGTTTAGGCGTGTCAAAGCAGAATAGTTGGATTGTCTAAAGGTTACTGAAAGAAAGTTATGTTTGTATTTTAACCAGCCTTGAATGTAAATCTATTTAGTTTTAAATAGAACAAAAGAAAGCTCTAGCTTGCCGGGGTCCCATCTGTCCTGTAGGTTGTGTAAAGAACATTTGAGAAATTGTACCAATCTAACCAACGAGTGAGAAGCTTTTATGTCATACAATGTCATGTCACACCCTCGCCGCAGTGACTTGTTAGAGTGACAAGGAGATTTCTGTCACCTAACCTATTTCTTTAGTGCATCAAAAGGCAAGTTACTACCGGTGCCACTTGTTTAACTACAGTTTCGAACAGTTTAGTCTTTTCTGCTGTTCCTGTGACCTTCCAGATTACTAAGAACCACTGGGAAAAAAATCCATGTTCAGATGGATGCATTCAGAACCCTGCACCTGAAAGAATCCTACTGTGATAGATAGATAGATAGATAGATAGATGATTTATCCTGAAGGAGTTACAACAGTGTTACATCAATAAAACAACTACACAATTGTACAACGACAAAAACAGTTTTAGGTTAATAATTACAAAGCCTTTAAGATTTTTTTTCTCGGCCTCAAAGCTTCACAAACCACCCTATGAAGGTTCTTTTGCGCATGGCTTAGACTTACGCTATTTTCATGTGCACTATGAAATGTACGCCACATTGATGTTGTGGCCTATTTTGTGATATTTTATTGCACACTTAAAACCAGAGCAGACATACTGACATCCCTCACTTAACTTGACCCACACTTGTGAGGTCAGCGTTGAAGGCGGTCTAGGCCAAGAAAAGTCCATTTGCGCCCTCTTGTGTTCATGGCAACACGAACAAAGACCTTGCACGTGGCTGATAGAGGTAAGATTTCCCCAGACATCACTGTACGACATTGCTGCTTCATTAAGCATCTGAAAAGTCTGTTTGATCTTGTAATTCCTTTACGTAAAATCAAGCGCAATAGACTGTTTACAAACTGTTCAATCTGCTCAGTCTGTCATATCATAATTTATAGCGAAAACAATCTTTGTTTACCTTCTACTTTTGCTTAGTTTACATGAATCAAATGTTATGTTTCACTGATGTATTACAGTCTTTCCCAAAATATGTATATTAGTTCTACACTAATCCTACAACAGCTCACTGTGAGTATGAGGTTGTAGTGCTTTTATTCAAGGGTATTTGTGTTTGTATTGGCTAAAATATAATATTTTGCCAGTGTCTCAAATTGAAAAACGGCAACAGATGCAAATGGCACATATAGAACAAACTCGGAATGTATTTATAGAAAAATTATACTAGTGGTCCCAGTGGACCCCACTGTACATGTCTGAGAACTGACAAAATATGTATGTTGGCCAATTCATAGCAACAGAAATTAATTCTGGAGGCCATGTTTACATGAATCAGACAAGGGAATGCATTTAGCCAGTAAGTGTTATTGTGGCAGGTTTACATGACTAATAAGAAGGTTTTAGTGACGGAATTTACTAGACCTTTTATTAGCTCGCTTCATGACCTTACAATGGAACTACACAGCTGGCCATAAAGTAACTGAACAAGCAACATTTCATTTATTTATTTTTATATATAAAAAGGCATGTGATTCATGTTAGGCATTGGTCATATCATAATAAGTACCCTTGGATAACTGTACATCGTAATGATTGAATGGAGTGCTGAGCCAACACAACAAAACCTGTGTTGATGTCTAATTATTTACAGACTGCACTGTAGAATGACTCGAATGAGACATGGGCACCAGTGAGACCCCACCTGCACTCTCTGACAATCATGCAGAAAATAATTAAACACCCAAAAACCTAAACCTGAAAAATAACTTTAAAAACCTTATGTATGTTTCTGTGTAATTTGACCAGCACTGGAAAAATATGCATGTAAACAAATGATTTCTTTTCAATTGGCCATTTGCAGAGACAGACGACATGTCTCTGGGCAGAGGAGAAAGCAGAAAGTCACTTGTTAGCCACACGGTGATAATTGAATTTATCAATTTACATTTATTGAAAGTGTTTTAACTTTCTTGTTTATTTGTTGGTTCAATGGGCTGTCGGTGAAGGACAAGAATAGCCTGAATGGTGTCGTAAAAATCTGTTCAAAGATAATTGGAGTGGGTGAAACAAGTGGCCCAGAAAGCAAAAGGAATTATCACTCAATCTGATCATATTTTGTCCAGCGAATTTACTATAATGCCGTCAGGTCGGCGTTATCTCATGCCCCTCAGTAGAACAAATCGCTATTCCAAGTCTTTTATTCCTTCTGCTATCAAGCTACTAAATGCGGATAATAGTTTTTTTAATGATTGTTATATTCATTGTCTCCGTGCATTGATTGATTTATTTATGCATTTACCTATGTATGTGGATTTGGTGTCTCTGACATATGTAAGTTTTTTTTTGTTTTTTTTTAAAGTATGTATGTGTGTGTATATATGTACAGTCATGTGTATGGACGAGAAAGCTGCAAATGAATTGCCCTTTTTGGGACTAATAAAGTATTCTGAACTGAACTGAACTGATGGGGTTGTACGCCATGAGGCTGAGGACTTCAGGCTGAGGTATGACGGGCACTGGAAGGCTTTTGAGCAGATATGGCATCACAATTTGAAGACAGTCCTGTTTTTTTAAGTTATTGTTGATAGCATCCATAATACTTTTGCTAACAGAGAAAAATTTAGACAGGGAAAATTTAGAAACATGCAGTGGAATATGTCTTTTCTTTCAAAAATAAACTGGTTTTACTAGATTTTTTTCACTTAGAAATAAACAAAAGAACATCTTAGAATTGTGATAAATTAAAAAAAAGTAATCACAAGTGAATTAAAAAAATTATTAAAATTTAAGCACATTTGTGATGATGACTATGTTGAGGGCTAGGTCATTTTTATTTGTTCTATCCCTTGTAATGAAAAAGTGAATGTATGGAAAAGAAGAAGGACAAATACTAATAGTAAGAAATTCTGAAATTCATGTTAAAATTTTCAAAAATTCTACTTTTCATCTAAATTGTCATGCTTTCTTTTAAATGAGACGGAATGCATTTATAGAAGAATTATACTAGTGGTCCCAGTGGACCCCACTGTACATGTTTGAAAAATGACAAAATACGCATGTTGGCCAATTTATAGCAACAGAAATTAATTCTGGAAGCCATGTTTACATGAATCAGACAAGGGAATGCATTTAGCCAGTAAGTGTTATTGTGACAGGTTTACATGACTAATAAGAAGGTCTTAGTGACGGAATTTACCCGCTCAGAAGATCTCATGCTAAAGCTAACGCCGGAGCTAGTTAGATGCTGTGGAGGACTCATTGTCTTTTACACTAGGCCTTAGGAGTTAATTTATATTTATCTTCACAAGCGGTGTTTGAATCACAAGTGTGAGTAACATACAGTCCTATTTAATCTGACTAATTGAACAAGCTAATTGTCAGCAGAAAAGTAAAGAAAAGCTAACTAGTTAGATAACTGATCACAAACAACAAACAAACAGAAAAGCTCACCATACGCTCATGCTCACACTCATAAATCAAAATGAAAACAGCAGAGCATTGCAAATCCAATAGAGGTGGAAATTAGCATCAGAGTAGGAGTGTCAATAAACAAAAGCTACTGATATAGTGAGGGTTTCTTTATTAAACACTGCTATATAATGATACATGTTTATGATGTGCAAGTCATATCCGATGTGCAAGTCATGTCCAATGTCCCAGAGTCAATCCCGAAAACAATACAATGACGTGAAAGGACAGAGGTATAAAATCTATTGTTCATTATCTGTAATAATAGCAGGCATGGGCGAGGATGCAGGTCAGGTAGCGTCAGCAGTAAATTCGTCCATAGACGTGTCTCAAAGCCAAGGAAACAGTTGAGGTAGTCTGCATTTCTCAAACATTACATCACTGAAGCCTGTCCACTTCTGTAAGACCCTTCAAATACAACCACAAAATGTGTCATTTATGTCTGAAACTTTAGTGAATTCAACGTGTGTATACTTCCAGACCTTCAATCATCCCCAGTCCTTCATGCACAGCGCAGGTTTTGAAAACTATTTAAATAGGTATGTTGATAGTAGTTTCTAAAAGAATGAACAATGAAACAATGAGACTAAACAAGAAATACATTGCAATAAGCCTGAAGGAGAGCCATCAATGCTAGCTGGTGCAGGTCTCAGCTATAGCCTAGACTTTGAGACAGGATTTATGTTCCTGAGTTCATTCATGAGTTTATCATTTGTGACTTGCAAACTCAGGTTTGATTCTCTAATACCGTGTGAGTTCAGCTGTCCAAGCTGGCAAACAAAGTGATCTACTAAAATAACAGTAAATATATCAATGATACTTTCTGTATCATAATGCGCATAAATTATTATAATTTAAAGCCTACTGTAGTGAATCAGCTAGCAACCAGCAGTAAATCTTTTTTTTTGTTTGTTTTGAATTAAAAATGCCAGTGGCCAACTCTGCAGCAGTTACTGATCAACACTCGAACACAAAGAGCTGATAGTTACGATATGTTGACATGAAAATTTTCCAACCCTACAAGCTGATAAGG